AGCGCGTATGCCTCGAAGCTGTTGGAGTGGAGCGGCATGGCTGAGTGCAAGCCATGCGTGACTCCGATGGAAGAGCGGCTGAAGCTGACAAAGGCCAGTACCGCGGCGAAGGTGGATGCGACACTCTACCGGAGCATCGTCGGCGGTCTGCGCTACCTAGTCCATACGAGGCCGGACATTGTGTTCACCGTGGGCTACGTTAGTCGCTTCATGGAGGATCCTAGAGAGGATCACTGGGCTGCAGTGAAGCGGCTACTACGCTACATCAAAGGGACGGTGGATCTGGGGATCGCCTTCCCCAAGACCGGTGAAAATAGGCTGCAGCTCACTGTGTTCAACGACGCAGACATGGCGGGGGACATCGACAGACGGTGGAGCACCTCTGGTGTGCTCGTCTTCCTTGGGCCGGCTCCAATTTCATGGCTGTCGCAGAAACAGAAGGTGGTGGCGCTATCTACGTGCGAGGCAAAGTACGTAGCGGCGGACACAGCGGCGTGCCAAGTTGTGTGGCTGCGCCGGCTACTGGGCGAGCTGACCGGTGTGGAAGCTCACTCACCAGCACTGATGGTGGACAACCAGCCCGCCATCACCCTGGTGAAGAATCCGGCTCTCCATGACCGGAGGAAGCACATCGACGTGAAGTTCCACTTCCTCAGGGACTATGTCGATAGAGGGCAAATCGTCATCGAGTTCGTCGAAACTGGTCGGCAACTCACGGACGTCCTCACCAGGCCGCTCGGATGTCTTCGACTCAGAGCTGAAGGAGATGATCGGCATGGAGGGGGTATAAGGATAGCAGTAGAATTAGGGGAAGAATTATTAGATAATCTACTGCTTTCATGTGTGAACACACAGCAAGGGAAGACGATGCCGAAAAGGCTCCCTGCTGTAGTACTGCAGCCGCTGTAGAGATAGGCACCGAACGGCTCACCTGCCGCACTGTAGCCGCAGCAGGAGCAGGCGCCAGAGTCAGCCCTGCTGTGTTATCTAGTCACTGTTGTAGCAGGGCAGCTGTACTAGAACTAAATGGGTAAAGTTGTATATATAATTTGCCACTGTAACTCAACAAAGAGAGTTCAAATTTGCCATCTACTATACAGGGCTCCGGCCAACGCTGGTGTTTCTGTTGTGTGTGTATGCTCTGTTCTCTCTCACTTCTTCTATCTCTAGCCATAGTGTGTGGTCAGGCAACCTCTGTCGTGGTCGGCCGTGCTCGGCAAGACTGATGAGTGGTAGACTCACCTGAGCCGGTGATCCTGTGGCTAACAGTATCTTCATCAAGAAGATACGGGAACTATCTTTCCAGATTGAGGATGTTGTCGATGAGTTCATGTACAAGCTTGAGGACGACAATTTGCAGCCAAAATGAAGAAGAGGATCGAGCATCTCAAGGTTTGGCACCGTCTAGCTCACAAGCTCCGTGATATCAATGTCGAGCTTGAAGAAGTTGCAAAAAGGAGGGCCCATTATGTCATCCCAGGAATGCTGGGACACACTGGGAGCGGTGGCCATCATGCGAAATCCAACACTCAAAATTTGTGTATTTCAAGGGATGGCGATCTAGTGGGCATTGAAGATGCTGCAGACAAGCTCAAGGGGTGGCTTGGCAGTGATTTGGAAGAATGGAACAGTAGAATCACTACAGTTTGGGGATGGGTGGAGTGGGTAAAACTACTTTGGTTGATCATGTCTATAACATTGTGAAAGCCGAGTTTGACACTGCTGCATGGGTAACTGTGTCCAAGAGTTACCAAATTGAGGATTTGCTGAAAAGAATTGCAAGGGCGTTCAGCATCTCAATCGATTGTAGCAATATGGAAATAAGAATTGTAGCTGAGGCCATCCGTAACCATCTTAAAGGTAAAAGGTACATCTAAGTGCTCGATGATGTTTGGGAACAGGATGTGTGGATTAATATCATGAATCTTTTTCCTACTAACAAGCCGATTTGTTCTCACATCAAGATTATCCGAAGTTGCATCATTGGCAACTAATGATTGTGCAGTTATGCTAAAACCACTACAAGAAAAGCATTCTTATATGTTATTTTTCAAGCTAGCTTTTTGGAACAACGAGGACAAGAGCTGCCCTTTGGAGTTATGGGATTTGGCCACAAAGTTCTTAGAAAAGTGTGAAGGTTTGCCTAGTGCTATCGCGTGGATAGGCCGGCTACTGTGTTTCAAACCCCCAACTTACTCTGAATGGGAAAAGGTGTACCAGAAGTTAGAGTTGCAGTCAACTAAAAACACAATCCCTGGTGTTGATAGCATTTTGAAAGTCAGTTTGGAGGACCTTCCATATGAACTGAAGAACTGCTTCTTACATTGTGCACTCTTTCCAGAGGATTATGAACTGAGGAGGAGAAGGTTAATAAAGCACTGGATTACTTCTGGATTCGTCAACGAAAAAGAGAACAATACACAGGAAGAAGTGGCTGAGGGCTACTTGAATGACCTTATAAACCGAAGCCTGCTACAAGTTGTTGTGAAGAATGAGTTTGGAAGAGTGAAGAAGTGCCGAGTGCATGATGTCATCCGCCATCTTGCTCTCAAAAAATCAGAGACAGAATGCTTTGGTGAAGTTTTCGTGGGATCCAGGACATTCTCGGTATGCAACTCACGTCGACTATCAATACAAAGTTCCAATATTTCATCATTGAGTCAATCTGGTGCAACACATCTACGGTCAATATATGCTACTTACAGAATGAAGATAGCAAGCCATGGCTACCTCCTGCAACTTTTATTTTGTTTTTGAACATAACTTGCGAATTTCTTGCTCCATTCTGTCAAGTAATTTAAAAGATTATTATCAACAAGAACATCAGAAATAGTATAAATACTGTTGTCATTGACCACCTACGCGTGGACGACTGTCCTTTGTCAGTCTAGTGGACAAATGGACAAAACTGGTTTTGAATACACAGTTAGCAAAAATAATTGGCCAGCAGCTAGTTGTCTTTGTTTGATAGTGAAACAAAGCTGCCAAGTTAAAACATGTTTCACATTCTGTTTATAGCTTTTATATTTATAGTTGACCCGGACACTAGATGAAGCTAAAGTATGGGTCAAATTGAATCTATTATCATGTTGAATTTAACAAAAATATATATGTTTTATTGTCAGTAAACATTGCTAGAGTTGTTATTACTAACCTATATATCATTTTCCCGCAACTTAAAAAGGAAGCTAACACTGTTTTGAATACTTCTCTTTTGTGCAGAATTAATCGGCGGCATCAAATAAGCAGTCTCAAGACCCGGATTTGTCGCAGTGGTTCCAAGAGCCTCCGCAGTGATTGCATTTGCATTTGTGGCTTATTGTGACTTAGTTGTAACTTGTGATGATGGTTTATTGTGAATTGTGAAGATGGTTTATTGTGAATTATGACGATGGTTTATTATGCCTGTGACATATAATTATGCCTGTGATGATGGTTTGTTGTGAATTGTGATGGTTTATTGTGAATTGAGAGGGGTCCGTTATACGTGATAGATTAGCAAAAAAGGGGGGGTCTTGGTCGCTTTGCCGAGTGTAACACTCGACAAAGAGCGGAGTTGCCGAGTGTCAAGGCAAAACACTAGGCGGAGAGGACATTTTCTGTTATTCTGGGAACCTTCTTTGCCAAGTGTTTTGGTTTTGCCGAGTGTATTCTAATGGACACTCGGTAAAGTGACCATAAAATCTGGTCGTTGAGCAAGTGTTTGCCGAGTGTTTTGGGCGTGACACTCAGCAATGTGTCTAAACTTTACCGAGTGTTTTGGATTGGACACTTGGCAAACTTTAGAAACTTTGCCAAGTGTTTTGGGCTTGACACTCGGCAGTGCTTTTTCGTCGTGCACTCAGCAAAAGCGCCGTCACCGTGTCATCCCGTTAACTTTTTTTTGCCAAGAGTTTATTTTTACCGAGTGTTTATTGAGTATTGACACTCGGCAAACTATTTATCGGGTGCGCGATAAAAAACACTCAGCAAATAGCTGTTTGCCGATACTACAGATGACGTGTTCTCTATGCCGAGTGTTACACTCGGTAAAGCCTTTGCCGAGTATTTTTGAGCCAAGCTACTGTATCCCGTAGTGCCTCTCATGGCCAACGTGTTAGATAATTAGGGAGTTCAATTTCTGGATAAATTAAAATGCATAACGTGATCGTCAAATAAATCTTGAAGCCACACAACAAGCTGAGTTGCATGCACGAGTAAGTTTGCTAATTCTGTCTTAAATCGAATAGTAGTCATTTTGGATGAACATTTCTTTATTAATCTGTACAGGTGTTTGACGTACATCTCGAACGTCTTTACTGTTTCCGTCATCGCGTCACAAAACAAAAATACTAAAAAATCACGAAAACCCAACACTATTATTAAACAAATCTATACCCTTTTTCTCGTCAACTGCTCCCACTATTATTAAACAAATGTATACCCTTTTCGCCTCGTTCGCTTAGCTTATAAGCCGTATTTTTTCAGTCAACAAACAATATTTTTCTTTCATAATAAATCAGTCAACGCTACTGTCAATTATCAGCCAAGCGAACAGGACATTTATTACTCACTCCTTTCTATGCTGCTGGTAGCGTGGCTGTCCAGGTCCACGATCAGCTTCATCCTTTGTTCCACAAAGACGAAGGCACAAGCCCACAACCACTTCTTGTTCGCCGTTGACTCGTCGAGTGGTGGTCTCTGTTCTAGGGCCTTGTAGCATCGTTCCGTAGTCCTTACGGGATCCAACTCCAGAACTACTACTCCGCCTTGGTTGACAGTGGCTTCAACTTGGCCAGAAGCCCAGATCTGCAGCACATGCCTGTTTTCTAGCTTCCCCATTTTCAGGTATCAGCTCTCGTCAGTTCACAGTTTGTTCAAATGTTGGTTCCATGGTTCAGATTGTTGACATGAAAATAATTAACCTCTGATAATTGGACTGATTTGTGAGATTTAGGTTTATATAGGTCACGAGCTTACACTGGTGACTCTAAGCACTGAAGCAAGCGCAGGTAACCACCATGGCGGAAGCCGTCGTGGGAGTGCTGATCGGCAAGCTAGGTGCAGCCTTGGCGAAAGAAGCAGCAACCTATGGAGCATCCCTGCTTTGCAAGGAAGCTTCAGCCCTCAAGGGTCTTTTTGGCGAGATCCGCAAAGCTGAGAAGGAATTTGAGAGCATGAAGGCCTACTTGCGTCAGGCAGAGAAGTTCAAGGATACCGACGAGACCACTGGCATCTTCACCAAGAATATCAGGGAACTATCTTTCCAGATCGAGGATGTTGTCGATGAGTTCATGTACAAGCTTGAGGACGACAAGCATGGAGGATTTGCAGCCAAGATGAAGAAGAGGATCAAGCATGTCAAGGTTTGGCACCGTCTAGCTCACAAGCTCCGTGATATCAATGTCGAGCTTGAAGAAGCTGCAAAAAGGAGGGCACGTTATGTCCTCCCAGGAATGCAGGGACATGCTGGGAGGGGCGATCATCATGCCAGAGCTACGAATCAAAATTTGTGTTTTGCAAGGGAAGATGATGTGGTTGGTATTGAAGATAATGCAACCAAGCTCAAACAGTGGCTAGTAGGTGATCTGAAGGAAAAGAACTACAAAATAGCCACAGTGTGGGGAATGGGCGGTGTAGGTAAAACTACTTTGGTTGACCATGTCTACAAGATTGTGAAACCGGATTTTGATGTTGCAGCCTGGGTAACTGTGTCACAGAGTTACCAAGTTGAAGACTTGCTAAAGAGGATTGCAAGAGAGTTTGGCATCATAACTGATGCTATTAACATGGAAATTAGAAGCTTAGTTGAGATCATCCGGAAACATCTTGAAGGTAAAAGGTATATCTTGGTTCTTGATGATGTCTGGGAAAAGGATGTATGGATTAATATAATGGAAGTCTTTCCAACTAAATGTAGCAGACGATTTGTTATGACATCAAGAAAGCTTGAAGTTGCATCATTGGCAACTAGTAATTGCACAATTGAGATGGAACCTCTAGGATATAAGCACTCTTTCGAGTTATTCTGCAGATTAACTTTCAGTAATAGTGATGATAGAAGGTGCCCATTAGAGTTATTGGATTTGGCTGTAAAGTTCTTACAAAAGTGTGAAGGCTTGCCTATTGCCATTGCATGCATAAGACGTCTATTGTCTTTCAAACAACCGACATACTCTGAATGGGATAGTGTGTACAAGGAGCTAGAATTGCAGTCTAGTAATAATGTGATGCAAGGAGTCGATAGTATTCTAAAAGTCAGCTTGGAGGACCTTCCATATGAACTAAAGAATTGCTTCTTACATTGTGCAATGTTTCCAGAGGATTATGAACTGAAGAGGCGAAGGTCAATTAGGCACTGGATTACTTCTGGATTCATCAAGGTAAAGGAGAACAAGACACTAGAACAAGTGGCAGAGGGTTACTTGAATGATCTTGTAAACCGAAGCCTACTACAAGTTGTGAGAAAAAATGCATCTGGATGTGTGAAATGTTGCCGAATGCATGACGTTATCCGCCATCTTGCCCTTGACAAAGCGGCAAAAGAATGTTTTGGTAAAGTTTATGAGGGCCATGGGACATTTTCGGTAGATGGAACACGTAGACTATCAATAAAGAGTACCAATATTGTACCACTGAATCCATCTGGTGCGACACATCTTCGTGCAATCTATGTTTTTACTAGTTCGGCTGTTGATTTGCTGAGGACTATCCTTGCATCCACAACATTGTTGTCAACATTGGATCTACAAGGTACTGAAATCAAGAGTCTGCCTAATGAGGTGTTCAGCTTGTTTAATCTGCGTTTCTTGGGGCTCCGGAAAACTGGAATTGAGACTCTACCAGAGGCTGTTGGAAGATTGCAAAATTTAGAAGTACTGGATGCATTTGGCACTGGTATGCTATCTTTACCAAAGGATGTAGCAAAACTGAAGAAGCTTAGGTACCTATATGCAGCTGTATGTGTCGTTGAAGGACGTCTCATGCGTAATTATGGAGTAAAGGTGCCTAGGGGCATAATAAATAACTTGACAGGACTGCATGCTCTGCAAATTGTTAAAGCCTGCTCAGAGACCCTACGTGATGTTGCAGCTTTGACGGAGTTACGCACATTTTCTGTTGACGAATTGACAAGTGAACACTCGTCAAGCTTGAGTAGTGCCCTCCTGAACATGAGCAATCTTGTCCATTTGTCAATTACAACATTAAATGAAAATGAAGTATTGACAGTGGAAGAACTCCGTTTACCAGAAACTCTATGTAAACTTCATCTCAAAGGGCAGCTGGAAAAGAAACAGATGCCTCGGATTCTGTCATCCTGGATGAACCTTAAAAACCTCACTCTATTATCTCTGTCAGTCTCCAAACTTGATGAGAACTCTTTTCCTAGCCTCATGGTGCTGCGTAATTTATGCCTTCTTAGGCTTTTAAATGCTTATGATGGAAAGACATTATGTTTCTCTGCACAGTCATTTCCTAGACTGAGAGAACTATATATATTGGGTGCTCGGGAGCTCAGCCAAGTAGAAATAGAAGAAGATGCACTGGGAAGTCTTGTTAAGCTACAATTTTTAGGGTGCCCAGAAATGAAGCGCCTCCCTCGTGGCATTAAGGACCTTTCAACGCTCGATGAATTATGTTTTGTTGATGCTGCTGCTGAGCTTATAAAGATCCTTCGGCAGGAAGGTGAAGCAAATGAATGCAAGGAAGAGCTAATGAAGATTAGCCACATTAGAAGGGTACGTTTTAGTGTAACTGGGGAAAACTTTTGGCGAAGAATTGTAACCAGATAAGGAAATGCATTCACTGGCTGAAGGCTTGGATACTATTTCAGGAGTTCATGTGCAAGGTATGTTTTTTACACTGCTTCTTGTTTATTGGACCAGCCGGAACACAACCGTGGCTCTTAAAATGCCTCGTCCGTTTCATTTCCTCAGGTTGCTGCTCGCTTTTGTTGCTCTGCTTTGGACCTTTGGTGATTCATCAGTTCAGCGGTTAATGAACATGTATTAAGCTATCGATAGAGGAAGCACAGGACATCCGCCCATCAGGCGTCAGCAAGGGAAGTGTTTGTCAGTTCTGTATGCGCAAACACTGTTGGTGATTTTAATTGTTCCGTCATATCGTTTGTGCCTGGTGTAGATCTAAAAACAAAATGTGTGCCTGGTGCAGAGATCAGAGAGTGCTCGCTTTGGGTTTTCTTGTCTCTGGTCTGGACTCTGGAATAGATTGGCTTGATGTCCTTTATGAGTGAGGCATCTCCCAGGTCTGTAATAAGCTCGTCAGAGTCTTTACTTCCCATTTTGCAGAACATAACCTTTTTATTTGGCGATGATTTCTGATGTGTAAGTTTCAACAACCAGCAATTTGTTTATTATTGATTTGATCCTAAAAGGCTACACCTATGACATTTTAAGGGCTGAATACGTATCTTTAGACTGCAACATTGTTCAAAACCTGGCAATTTGTATGTTCTTTTCAAAAATTGGAAAATTTGGCAATATACTTAATAAGATTTTTGAATCATGAAAAATGTCTCCAAGTGTCGGATACCCGAGAATGGGGTACCCCAAGCAAAGATCGAAAAACTGCTTAGACCCTAAGAACAAAACCAACGGAATAAACAAACGAGGTCTCGGCCAAAATCTCCGATTCGCCCGAGACCCCGTCGCCGAGCCCCAGCGGAAACGAACGATTCTCCGACTCGCCCGAGACCGCCTTGCCGAGGCCCCCTCGTCGAGGCCCCCTCGCCCGGGGCCTCGGAAGAAGTGCCGATTCTCCGATTCGCGCGAGGCCGGCTCGGCACCAGCCCCGTGACCGCCTCTTTGACCAAACTGCTCTGACCGAACGTCGCATCCAAGCGCCCAACCACTCCGACAGACGCACGATGGCACAGTACAGCGAAGTGACCGACTACACGCCAGTCGCATCAAACTCCTGCCATCTGAGACGGCACAGAACATGGGTTACCGACCACTGTGCTGCCTAACTCATGCACCAAGGACATCGCAACGTGGGGAGTCAGAACGGGTTCCTGTAGCCTCGGAATCAGCGGACCGACCACTCCGTCTCGCCCGAGCCCCCTCGACAGGGCCTCGGAGTCACTGATCTTACTCCGCCTCGCCCGTCCGCCTCGCCCGAGCCCCCCCAGGGGCCGCATGGACGAATTGGCGCGCTCCGCCTCGCCGAGGCCGGCTCGTCCCCAACCTCGTCGCCTCCGCCTCAAAAGTCTCTCTGGCAGTAGTCGTCGATCCGATTAATGCACTCAACACTGCACCCGCTACATAAGCCACGATCGGCGGTCGGCACCAGCAACAGAGCGACGGACAACGGTCGATCACCTTTTCTACCATCCCTTATCGACAATACAGTACCAGATCCCAGTAGGTGCACGTCTCGCACTATTCCGCCTGATGGCCGCTGAGACCCGCATCTGCACCTGGGTCACTTTCCAGGCCTCGGCACGGCAGGCCTCGGCACAACAGGCCTCGGCACGACAGGCTACGATGGCCGCCGAGCCTCTGCAATCCACCAAGTTAACAAATGCGCAGCATGTTACTTGCAGTGGAGACCATACCGATTAGACATCTACGGGAACTCCCATGACAACGTCATGCTGCTCCCGGAGTAAATACGTCATCGAATAGTCCTTGCTCCACGTGTAGCTCTCTTATGTACTCCTGGTTTCCTCCCTGCGGCTATAAAAGGAGGCAGGCAGGACCATTTCTAGGGACGGCGGATAGAGTCACGAATACTCGCACGAACAACACGCCTCATTCTGTAATTCATATCACCTCCCCTCACAGAGACCTGGGACGAACTCCCTCTCTCGCCTAGCTTGTAACCCCCTACTACGAGCACCCCGGTGCAAGGAATACAAGAATATCTTCTCAGACTGGACGTAGGGCATCCATTGCCCGAACCAGTATAAACCTTGTGTCTCTTTGCATCACCATCCGGAATTGGGAGCACGCAGCACAAATTCACTAGTCGGTTAAGGACCCCCGGTTCCGAAACACCGACAGTTGGCGCGCCAGGTAGGGGCCTCTGCGTGTCAGCTAAGTCATCCCACCAGATTCCGGATGGTAGATCCCGTGCGATCGTTGCGTCTCGGGACGATCGTCTGGTTCGGGAGTCTAGAATTCATGTCTCTAGGGCACGAGTACGACATGGTACTCCTCTCACCCAGAGCGCCATCAACCGACGACGACGTCATGCACCGGCAGCCCACGCGCGGACGGCGCCCGGGCCGCCGCTCCCGTCAAGCTCGCCAAGCGCCGCGCGGGCGAGTCCACCCTAACACCGCGCAAGTACAGAACGCCGATCTGTGCTCCACCGGAATCCCATACCCCGCTGCTGGCACAGGGTCCCTGCACGGGGACCTGTCCGGCTTAAGCCTCGACAGGGGAAAAGGGCCGGTGGCGCACAGCGACACCCCATCATCAAGCTCATGTCCCTCCTCTCGAGGAGCCAGCTCTGCAGAGCGAGCTCAGCGACGGCGCCATCCCGTGCATTCTTTCGGGCTGACCAATGTCGCCGCCTCCTCGCCACCGCCTCGCCTCCATTCATCAATGTCATGCCCATAACCCCATAGTCACAACTCCAATCCACCCCCACTCGACTCCTTGGAGGAGGACGAGGCGTGGGTTGGAGCAGACGCTCAGAGCTTCGCGACCGACCACGAGGCGATCGCGCGCTTCATGATCGCGAAGCGACTCTCGCTTCGCTACTCCGATTCCGACGGCGAGGACGCTTACGACCCGACTTGTGAGTGTTTCCACATCGGACTCGGAATGCCGAGCACGGGCAACGATGGAGGAAGGGCAGCCAACGCCACACCACCACGCGCACGGGTCCCCGCCAAGCCGGCGGCGTGTCCCCACCCCCGAGCAACTTCGACGCATAGACCTAGAGCAGCTCCATGAGCTTCAAGCCAAGGTCGAGCAAGATCGACTCCTCCTGCAGCAGCTCCGAGCCACCCTCGAGCAAGAGCAGCGGGGGCGCGGCGATGGCGGGACGGCCTGGCTGGGGGCTCGCAACGTCAACCGCCGCATTAACGATGATGAGGGGGCGAGCAACCCCCTGTCTTCAATCGCGCTAGCCAGAACATCGCTGCGACAGCAATACTGGTCCGAGCGATGCTCGAGCCCTCTACCACGGAAGGGCGATGAGTCCACGGCGAACTCCGGGGCCTTCTCGAGACTGCCGCGGTGCAGCAGATCAAAAGCTCCGCGTCTCGACGACGCGGGGATGCCTCGAAATAGCCCTCGGTGCACGACCGCCTCAGGGCCCCCTCGGTGCACGACCGCCTCGACGACCAACGCGAGGCCCAAAACGGCCACCACGTGGACAGCAGACGACGGCGCCATGACCACCATGGGGCCGCCTGGGGCTACCAAGTGCACCGAGGCGGTCGCTATGACAGTGGGGAGGACCGCAGTCCTTCTCCCGGGCCGCCTGGCCCTAGAGTTTTTAGTAAGGCCATCCGTAGCGCCCACTTCCCGGCCCGGTTTTGTCAACCAGCGAATCTCTCAAAGTACAGCGGTGAGACCAACCCCGAGCTATGGTTGGCCGACTACCATCTGGCTTGTCAGCTAGGCGGTGCGGACGATGACCTGCTCGTCATCCGCAACCTCCCCCTATTCCTGTCAGACTCAGCGCGAGCCTGGCTCGAACACCTTCCCCCTATGCAAATCCACGACTGGCGCGACTTGGTAAAGGTCTTCGTCGGGAATTTCCAGGGCACCTACGCGCGCCCCGGGAACTCCTGGGACCTCAAGAGTTGCCGCCAGAGGCCGGACGAGTCTCTCCGAGACTTCATCCGACGTTTCTCCAAGCAATGCACCGAGTTGCCCAGCATCGGCGACTCAGAAATCGTCCAGGCATTCCTCTCCGGCACCACCTGTCGAGACCTGGTCCGAGAATTAGGCCGGAGCGTACCGACCACGGCGTCCGCACTCCTCGACATCGCCACCAGCTTCGCCTCTGGCGAAGAGGCCATCGGGGCCATCTTCCCCAACAACGACTCCAAGGGGAAGAGGCGGGATGAGACCCCCGGGGCCTCGACATCTCGCCCCCAGAAAAAGAAGGGACGCCAGGGGAAACAGGAGGTTCTCGAGGCCGGGCTCGTCGCGGCCACGGACCGCAAGAATCCCCGAGGCCCAGGGCTCTTCGACAACATGCTTAAAAGACCCTGCCCATACCATCAGGGCCCGGTAAAGCACACCCTCGAGGAGTGCACCATGCTCCGGCGATACTACGCCAAGCTCGGGCTCCCCAACGACGATGCCAAGAAGAGGGGCCAGGACGACGGAGACAACGACAAGGGCGACGGGTTCCCCGAGGTACATAATGCCTTCATGATCTTCGGTGGGCCCTCGACGTGCCTCACGGTGCGACAGCGAAAAAGGGAACGCTGAGAGGTCTTCTTGGTTAAGGGGCCACTCCCCGGTACCTCGATTGGTCTCGGGAGGCGATCACCTTCGATCGGGATGACCACCCCGATCATGTCCCAAACCCCAGCCGGTACCCGCTCGTCGTTGACCCAATCATCGGGAACACCCGACTCACCAAGGTGTTGATGGACGGAGGCAGCTGCCTCAACGTCCTGTACGCCAACACGCTGGAGCTCCTAGGGCTCGACCGGTCACAACTCCGAGGCGACGCCGCGCCCTTCCACGGCATCATGCCAGGGATGCGCGCGCGACCCCTCGGGCACATAGACTTACCCGTCTGCTTCGGCACCCCCTCCAACTACCGCAAGGAGATCCTCACCTTCGAGGTGGTGGGGTTC